GTATTATGGGACTGAATTAAGTCCCAAGGAGACATAGAACAATTATTAGTTTGGCCACTATGTTGTTGCTTTGAATGCAGTTTTGTAAACAAATCCACAGGAAAAATAAATGCAGTTCGATTGATGCAATCCATGTTTTGATAAGGTTTAGCTTTAGAACATCCAAACGAGTTTAATTAAAATGGTTAGCCTTGATATTTGGTTTGAGGATGATGAGTGTAAAGGGGGATGAGTCGACTAGTTTAAGGCAAAGGCTGGTTTTTGACAAAGATTCGAAATGTGCACAAAGGCACCATTTAGTATTTGCCAACTTATGCAATAACCAGCAGTGGCAAGATATCTCAATTCTCATTAATTGAACAATCTGCTTCATTTGACTGTACACCTATGAAATCGTTGTTGAAGGGATAAACAGAATACACATATTCAACTACAGATGCCTTCTGAGAATTCCTTATGAGGACAAATAGAATCGAAACCCACCCAGCAACATTGTGCATATTCGTGAAGTAGGCAGTAAGCTACATTTATTGTATGAGGGCTAGTGATACTACCTGGTTGCACAAACCTCAGTAGGTGTAGCGGTGTTCGAACTCATTGGTTGGAGGTCATCTCCATAAACTTCTTCTGAGTTGCTTGTGAGCCACACTGAAGTCTGGTTTATAATGCTAGTTCACGGTGGTGATTCAGTTGTAGAGGTTATGAACCTTCATGAAGTGAGATGTACGGCAAACACTGATGTATCATCCACTTCAACGTGTTTCACCAATGGGGTAATACTAGCCAGGGTGGAAGAATCTACTGCGGATCAGATCAAAAAATGGTATCTACCAGTCCAGGAAGCCATAATCAGTTTTATCGATTTGACTTGTCTCCTAGAGCCATCAACAATAAACGACTGTACACTGTTGTTGATGTAACTCAGTACATACTTTCAAACACCACAATCCTGAGCACATTTTCGTCTGTTCTCCCTTTGATCATATCCTTCTTCTGCCTATTTTTGCATATTTCTACCTTCCTTGATTTCATACTTCTGATGTTCGAAACTATTCTACCATGATTCAACCCTTTAACTGTTAACACAAATGGTGATATCTACATTAACACTGAAGTGTGTTGGTGACTCGAACGAAACTCAATGGCATAAAATAACTTCAATTATACACAGAAAACTCTAATTCATATTGAAGCATAGTGTACCAAATAGATTCAACTGGCTATTGTTTGAAGAAACGGATTGGATACTGTTTACATACGTATGTTTTAAGCTTCACCTAGTAATAAGACCAACCAGAAGCTAATAATTATGTCCCATTGAATTGATGAAGAACTGAATTCATCGTATTGAAATACATATATATATTCCATAATCATTTGACTAGATCAGTTTGTATTGCTTTTTGCAATGAATATCTGATGAACAACATGAAGTTTAGTGATGACAACTTGTGGAAATTGAGTGCATATTGCATGAAAACAACGAAGTGGTAGTACCTATCTTAGTCAACTATTTTGAAGCAAAGAAAATGATGGAAATGAATTGGAATTTTGTGATCGCCAAAAATGTAATGAGAGATTGATGTCGACTATAGACAGAGAAGTCTTGAGGACGCCTCAACAATGTACAGTGTTAAAAATATAGCCTTTCTGCAGTCGAGCAAATAGTCAATACCTCTGTACAGCGTCTGCAAACTAAAGCACTTGTAGATGTGAAGCCATACAAAACACTCACGGTTTTGACACTGCGAAACGAGATTCCTCAACAAGTTCCACAATATTAGTAGTGATATATTCCGTGTAAACTAGAAGACATTACTAGAATAGTCCGGCAGTAGTACGACCTCTATAGAAGTTAGCCAAGGGCACTGATATTCTGAATTGAGGCATAGTCCGATCCCGACAGAACTTCACAATAAATGACAAAATTTGTCATAAATTGACAAATCGACGTTTTGATTCCCGAGGAAGGCACACTGTTGCGGATCCAACCCACAGTATGGTAATGAGAGAAAGAAAGCATCTATGAATGGTGTGTGTATTGTCAGCAGCAAGTAGAAAATACCAACCGAAAAGTATGATTGCAAAGTGTTACAACGGCACAGATGGAAGAAGGGGAAAGAGGTCAAACGTGACTTCCAACATGATATTTGCGGTAGGTTGGAGCTTGATGTGGCAGATTTCAGTCGATGTGAACACGACATTTGTGAATTATGTATGACTGGCAAGTACTTACTTTCCCCTAGTTCCCTATCTTGCGTTAAACTAATTATAATTACGAACGCCATTATTCAATTTCACCCTACTCCACGTTTCCTCCAAATTTATGCTAATGCTTAAACATGGTAACGAATGTTATTCATATACGCCTCAGATGTGATTGGCCAGAGTCAGTCTTCTTTCCACGAGGAACTCGATTGGTCAGTTCTGCGATGACATACCTTACTCTACGAGCTTCAATAACTCATGTGTCGAACGGCAAAATCGTGTTCTATCTATTTCTTGAATACTGTAACTACCTGCAATTATGGTTGATAAGAATGGTTATTCCATAAAGGTATGGAGATTGTATAGATGTTTTCTACATATGAAAGGGAAACTAAAGAACATCAGAAAAGTGACCGGACTACTGGGACAAGTAAATAAGTTATCGTAAAATCTTCGATTAGCACGAATGATACTGCGTTTCGACAAACGTGCAATTTTCCCGCATGCGCTTTGTACTACTCATTATGAGTGAGTAGTGTCGTCATATAGTTCAGCAATACTAATTCGTTCGTTTTTCGATCATTTTATCATCCAAAGATAATGGTATCTTTCCCATTTCATGATTGTATTATCATGCATTTGCTAACTAGTAACGTCTTTGACAAGATATCCCGCTACCTGTCAAAGCACGAGTATACTGCACTGCAGCCCTCTCTGTCATATTATATGGCTAAGTGATGGCCTCTGAAGTAAGAAAATATGAGGCTATATGATCCTGATCACACGTGTCTTCATAGCATTTCTCTAGTGTGGTGCAAGTAGTATGTTGGAAATATAGAGGTCAGTTACAGGGTACGTGGTAAGTCACTCAATGAAGTCGTGGAAACTTCCCGACTAAGGTGGCTTCGACATGTGACCATGCCGACTGCTTAGATGTACAATGTCAGCCAAACTAGGATTTGACTAGAAGGTCCGTGGTGGCTAGATCAAGATGAAGCATCAATCCACGAAGTTTCTGACTCTTGAAATGAGCAACGTAGGCAGCTACAGACTGCCTGGTTGGGGTCCTCGAGATAATAGGAATCACGGGTTGCTACCTCTTGGTGACACGACTGAAAATTGGTCAATAATGGCCCAGATACATCACTTCGTGATATCTGTGAAAATTTGAACATCTTCACTAACCTCCCCTTTTGAAATTCATTCTCCTTCCATGCGAGGTATTTCGTCGATTTGTTTGTCCAGTTCTGACCCGTGATTTACTAATTCAGTGAATCACAGTAAACAATTTTCACTGTTTTCAGTGATCCAACTACCATAGATGATAATTTTGGCATGAGGAGGTTACGCTTGAGACGATAACGTTCGAAACAACAGTGGGATAATTTACTGTCGATTATTAACACACTTTTCTAGTGGTCAACTTTCAACTGTTGAAGTAAAAGTTAACAACGAAACAAAACAGTAAATGAATCATTTCTTCGCTTGCTCGATTAACACAAGATTAACTGAATGAAAGACGTCTATAAGAATTTGACAATACTGTCATTTCTACAACTGGGTGTTTATCGTAGAGGAGTAAAACATAACTCCTAAAACGACTATGTAAATTCAAAGAATCTCTGCACATTGTAAGTAGGGGAAAACATATATTGAAACTACCCAGAAAACAGCATTCCATACAATATCAATGAAACGAACATGATTAATAAAACCTATGTTCGAAGAACCAACAAATCCTCGAAAGAATGAATCACATCAGAATTAGACAGGATTTTCTTCTTCCACAATAAGGACTTTTAATACAAAATGATATGTAATCCAACTAATTACAGGTTAATACAATTCACTTAATATGAAAATGAAACACACTTGTACATTTAATCACTTCGCTTTACTAAGGAATATTAGACAAACTGTAAGCTAATGGTCTCGTCAAATGCAACATCATGGACGATGATAATTCACGAGTTGAACTGTGCAATATGAATATATGGTAACAGCAGTTTAATGAGTCTATAAAATGACTTAAATCTAACATCTTGTCCTTTCTTAACTACTTCCATTCAAGTATACTCAATAGTAAGATAATCAAGTTTCCTACAGATGAGTATCCTTCGAACTTATTCTTCATCTAGTTCATAATCCCAATTTCTGTCAATTACGTGAAGTATATTCACTTAGCTAGTTAAAAAGCAGACTTGGAACAGCATGGATAAACCAAGAGATGAATGTCATCGCGGCAAAATCAACATGGAACTTTGAGAAGTCCGTCGTTACGCTTCACGGTAGCAGATAAAGAACAGATGGATAGAAAAAGTGTATGGGAGGAGAATCGATTCTAAAAGTGGAGATTAGTGAAGATGTTCATAGATATCAAGGAGTGAATAGATATGTACCATTAATGACCAATTTTCAGCCAAGGCACCGAGAATCTGGAACCGTTGATTCCTATTGTCTCGAGGACCTCAACTAAGCAGTCTACATGGCTCAGATCAAGAGTCTGAGACTTTTTGGACTGGTGTTATTTCAACCTAATCCGACTTTGATTGACACTGCATATCGAGGTAAGCGGTGGGTGGTTAGCACTTACTGCTTGAGGCCTTATGAAACTATCATGATGCTCAGGCCGAACCCGGTAATCATTGGTTGATAATTGAGGTAATCAGCCGTACTTTTGCACTAAGTATTCTTATCGTTATGATGCTATAACATCATATTATAGATTCTTCATGCGATAGCATCTCCTCCATCAATTCACGCAAGAATGTAATTACAAAGAAAAGTGATTCGAAAAGATAACAGCATGGATTTCTTAAGATCCTCAATGTTTGCTTTCAGAGATAGTACTGTAAAACTATGACCACCAGGTTTAGGTAACATTTGTATATCACAATCAAGTATGCGACTGAACCCGCTTACCAATGAAACTAAGATACAAGTTTTTATTCAGAGAAAGATAGTTCATGCATAGCCGCCTGAAGAGATACTAAAATGAGACAAAACATCCATTCTGAACAAACTAATAACGGTAAAACTCATCGATAATATAGGTAATGTAAAAACGACTATGGAAACGACTATGAATACTTTTAATTACTAATTGATCCTTCTAAATCCGGGTTGTCGAACTGGATCGTACTGCTCGATTTCTCTGACTGACGAATCCCTAAAAATGGGATGAAACGCGAATCTTCGATCTTACTGCTAGTCATCAAGTAAATTACAACATCTTCAATTACCAAAAAACTTGACATAAAGCTGAAACAAATCACACTTTAAAAGAATAACAAACTGCTAAAAAGTATTTTTGCATGACAGCACAGTTATTATTCATGTTTTGCTCATAACACAACAGACGAATAGGCATTTTATATATTTATAACTTGACTGAGCTTTTGTATCCGATTCAATAGAATATCACCTTGCTTGATCATTGACTGAAGAAGAAAAAATATCAACATGAGACTAAAAATTCAACGTTTTGAAATGAATCGGATACGTGAGTAACTGATGTACTTGTCGAGCTATTACGGCTAATGACTGACCAAAGTCTACTCAACCAATAATGACAAGTGACCACTAATAAAAGCAACGTAATTTCGTATTTTTTCTCGGTCTTATCAACAAGGTGTATGCGTAAACATGAAAAGACTGCTGCTCCGGTAGCGATGCTGGGATGTATCATTCGCATAACATATAACCCCGATGGATGTCACCTCCATACAACGCTCAATAGCCATTCCGTTACAAGAGTCGTCGCCGTCGCCGGCGCCGTCGTAGTATTCAAAGCTCCTTTCATTAAATTTCGCAAAAACTATACTGAGTGGTTTAAATGAAGTTTCCGTCTGTTTTGCGACTTGGAAATAGTATTTAAATATGCTAATCTTTCTCAGGAAACTGTTTAATGGTTTAGTTACTTAGAGAACAAAGAAAACTGACTGATATCCGAGTGCTTAAATCAAGGTTAGTAAAACGTTATATTGTGTCTGTCCCAAGAAAACTCTACAAATATTAGTTTTAATTGTTCTCATCAACTGGTGCTTTCAAGTATTCAATTATCTGCCTAGTAAAAAGTATGTCAGGCAGAGAAAACAACATGTCATCACTTAAGGCTTTTACTGTTTCATAAAAACGAATGACAAATCTCGCCTGTGAACACATAACCTTTAACACTGTTCAGTAAAGAAAACAGTATTTATTATGAAGTGACATTAAACGGGGAACCACTTATAACCTGGGAGCACTGGATAGCTGTTTTCTCCCGGTATGGGACTCCTCAGGAGTGCGTACCCACGACCACACCAGAGGTCAAACTAGGAGTCTCGCGGTTTTGCATAAAGCACGTCACGAATAAGTCAGAATCCATTAGTCCATAGTTTCCTGATTCTATCAATTATGGATATAGGACAATGATCATCCAGTGTCATCGGTGAGTATTTGTCCTTGTCTCCGACTTAGCTTGCCCCACCTATCAGTTGGATTCCGATTCGATAGTTCTATGGTAACATGTTCGCCACAGAACCTGAAAGTCTTGGGGTTCGATTCCTGGCAGGATTATTAGTGTGGACAGCTGACGAGTGCCACATTGGTACGAAACAGCTTTCCAGTGCTCCCATGTTTTCAATGGTTCCTCAGTGGTAATTACCAACCGGAAATTGATAAGTCCTCACAAACCTCCAAGTTGAAAGAGAATAATGATTTAATAGGCGTTACTAACCTCACTGAGAAATAAGCATCGATGAAGATGGGGAAAAAGGTTACTAAACGGTGTGAAAATGTAGAAAGTTAAACTGAATATTTAATTCAAGGGCTTCTTTCATGAAAGCTAAAGCGATATCCCATGTTTACATTTAGTGTCCAACAGAAACTGTTTTAGTGACGTAAAATCAATATACCTGGGTTTCGGTCTAATTTTTGGTAAATTCAGACTGAATATGCAAATGTAAACATAATTTTGTAAAATATGTTCATCAGACAGAATATGGCGTCAAAAGACAACAAATAACATAAGGAGAAGATACTGTATCTTAAACAATGAGACAGATAATAAGATTAAATTTTGAGGGGGTTGTGGAGATTTGGAAATATTTCAAGTTGTTATTCACCTCCAACTGATGTCAGTCTTCGATGAATAACAACTTGAAACATTTCCAAATCTCCAAAACCCCCTCAAAATTTAATTGAACTAGTGCTCGTTGGTGACTAGCTTCGAGAAGTATTCCCGAAGTTCCAATGACAAGTCGTGACCGGTGGAGTCAAGCCTGATGGCCGTGAGGACAAATACTCAACGATGACATTAGGTGGCGGTTCGCGCTATATCGTGAGCTAACAGAAGTTGGAAATATGGAGCATTGGATTCTGACCCAGTGGCTCAATGGTAACGCGCTGGTCGCGGAACCTGAAGGTCGCGGGTTCGATCCCTGCTGGTGGGGTCGTGGGTGCGCACTGCTGAGGAGTCCCATACTAGGACGAAACAGCTGTCCAGTGCTCCCAGGTTTCCTTTGTTCCTCCAACTGATGTCAGTCTTCGATGAATAACAACTTGAGATAATAAGATGTCCAAATTCATTTACATACCGACAGACTATGGACACTAAAATAAAAATTTAACCGTAATTTAGGCTTTTCAGAGAAGCGACAATTTATGAAACATGTGAAATGAAAGCGCACAACTATGCGTCGAGTGAGTTTCAGATAACGCTTTTTTCTTACAGTTGATAAACTTAAAGGGTTTGAGGAGCAGAAGGCTAGTGTCTACATATACGAAAAACATCATAATGGTTTTCAACACACCATGCAAACAGCCTGGTATATTCGACAGCAGCATTGGTCAACAGGGGATCTGATACACCGGAAGAAGCCGTTCCTAGGTGGGTCAAAATGGTCTAACTTAATGCCGAAAAATAATAATCTTAGTAGAATTTATGGTACTATTAAGATTTATAAGCCAGGCTATGCCATCAGGCCCATAGTAGATTTTAGAAACACTCCAACATACGAGTTGTCTAAATATTTAGCAATTGTACTGAGCCTAGAAAGAAATCATTCAAAATTCCGACTTACTAGCTCTAATGACTTAAAGTACAGACTAGATGACATACACTTAGATAACAATGAAAAAATGGTTAGTTATGACATACCTAGCCTTTAGACGAATATACCGATCGACACGGGTCTTGACAGGCAGTTAGAAATAGGCTTAAGGAAGACAATGAGCATATGCATCGAACTAAGGTGCTGATCAAGGGAATCATGCTAGGAGTACGACTGTGCCTGACACATATAGTTTTTAAGTTTCAAAATAAAATATATAAACCAATGGAAGGGGTTGCCATGAGATCAACAATATCCCCTATCGTCGTAGACATATTTATGGATAGTTGGGAACGGATAGCTCTTCAAACACTTATTTCTACTCCAAAGATATGGTTCCAATAAGTAGATGATACGTTTACAGTACTGATATCGGAACACACCAGTAGGTTCTTGGCACACATGAGTTTAGTAGTCAATGCGATCCAATTTACCTGTGACTCAGAAACTGATGAAGGTGAGTTAGCAATGTTGGACTGCCAGATTAAACGAACACACGATGGAAGTTTATAGACTAGTATCTACAGGAAACCTTCCCATTCCAATCGCTACTTAAACTTTAAATCCCCCCACCCCATTTCAGTTAAAGTAGGGTTGTTTAAATGCCTAAGTGGTAGGGCGTAAAAGCTTACAGTAGACCAGAAAATCTACGACAAGAAATTAGACACATCAGGAATACCTTGCGTCTCAACAACTACCCACCTAAATTGATAAGGAAGTTTATCAGAAATCGAAACAATATTCGCAGTAATAGTAGTAATACAGGCGTCATTAATAGTAGTTCTACTACTAATGGTAGTGATGACAGGGTTAAGAGAGAATTCAAAGTCTCTGCCGTGTTACCAAACAAGGAAGGCACCTCAGAAGCATTACGAAGAATTCTGAATGAGGTTGGCTGGGATTAAAATGGCATTTAAACCAACAAACTCGCTCAGAAACAAGCTTCGTAGGTTAGACGATCCCATTGATGCAATTCAGTGAAATAATCTGGTTTACCGAATCCACTGTGCAATGATTATGAAGTCAAATACATAGGTCAAAGTAGTTGACCAGGGTCGATTAGAATAACATAAGAAATTTAGGAAAAGCTCGGCTATACTTCTGTTTGTAATTAAACACAATCACACAGTAGGTTAAAATAGAGTGACAGTATTGAAAACTAACTTAGTTGGGTGGACGGAGAGACTGATAACCGAATCCTTGTTTATTGAATCAACATCAAATGCAAGGAATATAAATGATTCTGCACCTGTCTCAGATATACGGAAAATTCTACTACCCTTGTTACAAAGGAGAGAAAATTAGGACTATGTAAACTCTGTCTCAACGTTGCAGGGTTACCTGATATGAATGTCCGAGATGTTATCCAGTAAATAATCCCGTTCCTTAACTGTGTGACATTTCTAATAAGCAGGCTAGAATGGAGTTACACTCTACCGCAGTGCCTAAGTTTTACTCCTGTATTAAAAACAGATTATAGCAATTTCTAAATTTATTATCAACGACATTTTCAAGTCTATGCAAAAAAGAATTTACCTGATATTGGAAATTTACATTATCCGGACGTGTTGTCTCAATAATACCAGAAACTTTATCCATTTTACAGGCTAATCGACCATTTGCTATAAAACGAGACAATTCAGAATCCAAAAATGCTGGAGTTACACCAAATGATGCAGCCATACTTTCTAAGCTCAGACTGCTGTAAGAGTCTAAATGTTGGCTTAATGCATGAATACGCATTTCACGAACATAATAACTTGTATGCAAATGTAAGTATCGATCACAACTCATGAATTGTTCAACTCCAGCTAAAAAATAGACACAAAATAAATTGAAAGATAAATACATCTACAAGAGCTATAGTTGAAAGTAACTTTAAGGATTTCAGATGGAATTAAGTATACATCATCAGTTAGGTTGCAGGGAATTATGTGAAACATGAATACCCGGTTTTATAAGTTTCTAAGTAGAGCTATTTACCTGTTGAAGGTAATCATACAGTGAATATTAGTGAAACGTGATTGATGATATCACATATGATCACTTCTGACATTGAGACTGATGAGTGTGGAGCTGTGGTTGAGTGCTTTAGGGAATCTGACTATGAATCCTTGTCGCAAGCATCGGCATGCCGCGTCGCGGGGAGTGGTGTTCTTACGCCCGACCTCCTAACCCCACTTCCTGTTGGGAAGACAGCATCAACATGGCACTGCTGGTCGTCCTCCTGAAACACCTTGGTGCTGTCACACCCCATCCAGTTAGCAGCAGTATGACTTTGTCCTCAGACCCCCATTATAGTGTGGTAATTTGCGCTACAAGGGTAACTGCTCTTCGTGTTACCGCTATCCAATAGATCTTTCTGGCATGATAGGACCTAGAGGGAACAAGCGTTCCACCAGTATGGTTCGTTGGGTCACTATGATATGGAAGCCCGACCACCAAGTCAAGGCAGCAGCTATGTATAACAGTATGATAACCAACTGGCGAAAAGGGTAGGTTCCTACTTAATAATCATTTTCATATAAGAAGAGGGGAATTTTGTTGAAATTATTTATAGGAACCTTTTAAAACTACAAACTTTTGAAGTGATCTCTATATGGATGCAGATAGTAAGTCGAGCAATTCCTAAAGGTTACTGGTACAAACATTTCTGGCCTAGAGTTATTCGAGATAAATGAAATGATCTCATGATTTAATAAAATAATGATGTGAGATATTCTAGTTTCACAGTGAATGGCATGATTCACTTTTTCTTTCTGCTGGATTTAATGTGAGTAGCATCAAATAAAAATACAATATCACTAACCAAGAGATCGGAAGAAGTCAGCATAACGGCAGTCGAATAAGGACATGAGATATTCTCGTACATTTGGTAATCCATGTAGAACTTCTTGAATTTCTGATCCACGAACAACCTGAATGTAAACATGGGCACATAAACAGTAGAGCTGATTACAGATACACCATCTTTACTCACAGAAAAGTGTATGGGAGTTAAAAATACCAGCGGAGACTAACTAGTATCTGTACAGAATAAACACTAAATACGCATACAAAAACCATTTTGAGGGATGAAAATCTGACTTAATTGTTGATAACGACTTGTTTATAGGAATTTAACCTTGAGTCGGTTCATGTTCGATGTTGCATCAGAGCAGTGTCATCGGTTTACCGGTTTGCAACATACATATATAGATGTTACCCACTTCCCACAACATAAAACCACGATTAGCAGTATTGATGTAAAAAACTAGAGGGACTGGTACAACTGGTTGCCTACACCATTTGAATTACAAGTACTAGATATAACAGCAGATTTTTAAGTTGATATCCGGACATTTTAACCCACCAAGTCCTGGCTTCTCATTATTATTATTTGTCCCTTGGATTCCTAATGGAACATAGGGCTTCAGTAGCACATCTCCAATGCGCTCTGTTCTCTGAAATCTTTTGAACCTGGCTCCATGACAGCCCACAAGCTCTCATTTCCTCCTCGCACGATCTCCTTCATATCACCCTTCACCTCGGACGCCAAGCTCGTCGATTCCCATGGGGATTCCACTCGAGCAACTGGCCTGACGCGTGATGTCCCCAGTCGGCCTTCTCAGTATATGCCCAATCCATCTCCTCTTCCTTCCAGTGCATATTTGTTGAGTGATAGGTTCTTGGTTCGTTCGTTATCCGGCCAGAGTTCCTTGTTGCTTATTCTTTCTGGCCATCCATCTGATCTTCAGTAGCGAGCGTAAGCAGTTGTTGATGAATGTCTGTAGTTTGTTGGAAATGCCTTTCGTAACGCGCCAAGTCTCTCAACCATATAGCTGCACTGGACTTGACTGGATTTGTGTTGAAAATCCTGATCTTGTTCCACATGCTCAGTGCAGAAGATCTCCACACTGGTTTCAGGTTGATGAACGCCTGTCTTGCTTTTCCGATTCTGACTTTGACAGCCTCGTCTGTGCCGCCACCTGTAGTTGAAACAGTGCTGCCTAGATAGGTGAAGGAGGCTACTTCCTTTAGGTTTCTCCCGTTGATGGTGATTGGAGTTTGCTGTTGGCGGTGGTGGGGTATCTTCATCACCTCTATCTTCTCTATATTCACCGGAAGTCCCGTCTTCGCTGCCTCTTCTGTCAACTTGTTAGTTTTCGCCTGTAGATCTTCAAGTTTGTGTGACATCAGACACAAGTCATCGGCGAAATCCAGATCTTCTAGGTTCTTTTCCGCAGTCCAGCGTATCCCCCTCTTCTCACAGCTCCCCACTGTTTGTTGCATGATCCAGTCAAGTCGACCACAATCAGGAATATCATGGGGGATAGTAGGCAACCTTGTTTCACTCCTGTCTTCACTTCACTTCAAAAGCATCACTGAGCTTCCTGTTGTGAACTACATGGCATGTGACATCTTCATATAGAGTTGTTGAATGAGGCTGACAAAGCTTTGTGGCATTCCGTAGTATTGAAGCAGCTTCCAAATTACCTCTCGGTCGACGCTGTCAAAGGCCTTCTCAAAGTCGATGAAGCTGAGGTAGAGAGTCGACTGCCATTCTATACTCTGTTCTATGGTGATGCGAAGCATTGTAATTTAGTCCGCACATGATTTGTACTTCCTGAAGCCAGCCAGCCTATTCCAGTCGTAGTTTTCAATCCAGTGCATCCTTTGGTCTCTCCAGGATGATGCAGCATAATATTTTCCCTACTCTGGGTGGACAGGAGCGTGATTCCACACAAGTTCTTGCAAACACTGAGGTCTCCTTCTTCGGGAGTTTGAAAAGGCAGCCCTTTTTACAATCAATCGCCAGGTACCTTCTCTTCCTTCCACACCTTCTGCAATAGTGATGTGAGCATGTCCATTGCTGTTGTCTCTGCGTCTGTTTTCAGTGCTTCTGGTGGAATTCTATCTGGTCCCGCTGATTTCCCGCATTTTAGTAGCCTTATGGCTCTCAGGACTTCAACTTTCGTCGGAGGACTTGTGTTCACCTGTAGTTGTGGTTGGTTGCAGGTGATATTTCTGGATGAAGTGCAGGTGGTGGTCGATTCAAGAGCTTCTTGAAGTGGTCGGCCCATTGTTTCCTTCGTTTCTCTTCTTTCGTAATCATATTTCCTTCATCATCTTTTATTGGTTTTATCTGCGTTGATCTCTTCCCAGACAGTAACCTGGTTATTTGATACAATGATGTCAGGTTTCTCTTACCTGCAGCCTGTTCTGCTTCACTTGCCAGTGTTTCGTAGAAGTGTCTTTTGTCTTTGCGAGCACTCTTCTTCACTTCTTTATCCAGTGTTTTATACATTGTGCTCAGTTCCTCTTGTCGTTGTGCATTCTTGTACTGCTTTATCTTCTGTTTCACCATCCTCCTCTCCCTGCTCTATCAGCTTCCATGTATCCATCGAGATCCATTCCTTGTCTTCTTTCTTCTTCCTTCCTAATACGGCTGTGCATGTTTCTTTCCACATCTCTTTCAAAGAGTTCCAGTGTTCATTCACACAGGTTTCTTCAGGGATGTTGCTCACTGTCTCCCATTTTGTCTTGATGGCTAACGTGAAGATTTCCTTTATAGTTTCATCCTTCAGTTTCCGAGTGTTGCACTTGAACTGTGGTCTATCAACCGGCTTCCTTGAAGGCTTTTAACTTGATTTGAAAGGTTCCTTGCGCTAGATAGTGAGTGGTGTGAAAATACATCTGCTCCCCTCCTTCATCTAATCTTGTGTCCAGTAGACTGCGTCTCCATTTTCTTGAGATTGAGATGAAGTCGATCTGATTTTTAGCGTGTCCATCTGGTGAAATCGAATCCATGTCACTTTGTGGATATCCTTGTGCTTGAACACACTGCCTCGCCTCCAATCATCAAATCGTTGAATGTGCAGAATTCTGCAAACAGTTCTCCATTCTCGTTTATCACCTCACCTAGCGCTTCTCGACCCATGGTTAGTTCTCTCCCTGTGTTGTCCGCTCCCCGCAGTTTGGCATTCATGTCGCCCCACCCAACAGAATTTCGACATCGCCAACTGGCGTGGGGTCTTGTCCAGTGTTGATTGCAGTTGTCTGTAGAATTCCTCCTTTCTCTCTTGCTCTGCATTATTTGTAGGTGCACAACGTAGCATTGTATGATTGTGACCTTCGTTCCTTTTGAGTTGAACCTTGCTGTCATGATCCTTATAGTGGGGGAGATTGGTTCCCACTGCATGATAGAGAGGCTTCGATGCTGTTGGGGACATCGTGATAGCCACTCGAAAGCTCAGTATGCTCATAGTTGTCGTCTGGGTGACAGTAACGGAGTAGATTATTGATTCTCCAGTTGACAGTTTGAAGAGTCTACTCCCATTCTACCTGCTTTCGCAAATTCCAAGCACCTCAGTGTGATACCTTCTCATCTCTTTTGCAATCTGGGCTGCCTTGCTGGGTTCAAACATGGTGCGGACATTCCATGTCACCACGTTTACTTTTGCTTTCATCGAGAGAAGACACATCGGCCAACTGGCTTCCCGAAGGCTTTCACCAACTGGCGTCATTTCGTCTTTTCGATTCCAGCGAGGGATAATTTTGTTTTTATTTTTTATATTTTGTTTGTGCTTTGAAGTTTCTTTAGAGGTTAGATTTGTTTTTCGGGTTAGGGTTGCTAGCCCTATGCCCAACCTTCCCTCTTTACCCGGGCTTAGGACCGGCCAGTAACTAGTGAACTAGTTAACCAGGCGAGGTTCTGGCTTCTCATGGACTAGCCTATCTACATCTACCCAAAGAACCTCCAACCAACTTAGACTACACAAATGAAATACTTTTGCTACACGAAGTCATATACCCGAGGTTTCTAGAATTTGCGACTGTTTAGTATGCAGATCACATTCATTTCTTAGACGTGAGATGATACTCCAAGGCTAGTTTGCAACGCCATTTCAAGGATAGCAGTTGAATGTTGACGAAGTTTCCATACATATGGAAGGTTCACTTGGCATTTGACAACCTGCGCCAACTTCCATACTGGAAAGATACCCCTCATATATCGTCTACAGACACGAGTATGCTGCAAAGAAAATCTTCTTTACACTATCGTAATTCCGAGAAATGTCTTCTAAAGATAGTGGATAGAAAAATTCAGAGGTTCCAGGTAGTAGGTATATTTAAAACATGGTTGGCACGAGGTGGAACCATCAAATGGGCAGTATGTAGGTTGGGGGCAAATTATAAGTCATGGAAGATAAGCCAAACATCAACTGAAATATTTAAAAATGCAAGTTAAGGAACATGAAAATCCCCTTTCGATGACCATCACAATACAGTAGTTAAACACTTGCCAGCAGAATGAACTGTGAAATAAATAATGAACTATCATACCTGATTCCTATTTAAATAAATTCGGAAATAGTGAAAACGTCATGTATCAAATAATCAATCAAAAAATTTCACAGAAAGTGTTGCCTACTAAAACTATGAACCAAGTGCCAAATACCTTACTTTTTCCCGAAGATCCGGACGTTTAAGGGCAATCATAGCAGCCATAACCGTATATTTGATAAACGTTTTATAGTCCATTAGTTCATAGCTTGTGAATGTAGCAACTGCATCGAGGAAATTTTTAGCGGCAGCGCTGAAATCTCGAACTGACATACTGTACAAACCACGATACACTTTCAGTCGGTTTCGTCGATCCCAGTCTCCGCCTTCTTCAATCAGACTATTGCAGATTTTTAAGGACTATGGAAAAATATTACCTGTTTGCCTTTTCGATATTCTTAGTTATTAGGTCTCTGTCACCAAAAAAGAAGCCGATTCGTATGATATGAAAAATTGTGTCTAGTCGGAAACCTGGCATCAGACTTTTATCCAAAATGAGCCGGAACTGGGATAGAGCACCTTCCTAAATAAAAAGTTATAAGATGTTGGATACATTCTTCGTTACTTTATCACCAATTTTACTGAGATAATGTGCTTTTTCCATCATTGCAGTTCTGACTTCTGTATCACCTAAATTTTCTTCGGCATCCTTAATTTTCGCATCCAACTCCTTGATTTTCTCTTCGTTCACTGACTGCATGGATTTTAAGATTTGCTGGTCAACTGAAAGATCAAGTTCTTTACAGACAACCTCATAATATGCAGCCATATCTAAAAAGAAATCGCAGTTTCAAAATATGAGCACAAGGAAAAAAGTAGGTTTAACAAGACCCTGGGTTGATATCACTCAGTAAATATTAAAATGGTATCTAGCATTACTGAATAACGGTATAAGTCGCCACACATATCAGCACATCAAGTGGGAATGTACCAAGATGAAAGATGGAGAAATATGGAAGAAAAGTAAGAAAAAAAAGCAGAGTCGTAAGAAGAGAACAAGGTGGAAAGAAACAGTGGTGAAACTGGGCATCCCGATTAAGATGATGTGTGGGTATATCCGCACTACTAAAACTGATCCTGAGCCATATCTCCTGGATTCTCCAACCACCAATTTCTGTATTTACACAGACCGCGACTGGGAACATGAAACCTGACAGAGTTGTGAGAGCAATAGACACTCTGGCTGCCCACATTGCGGAAGGTTACTTCTTCGTCAAGCACCTGAAGGAATTGCATGGGTAATAGTGGTGCGTAAACACAGCGGCCAATGTATATCTGCTTGAGATCAGCCACACACCACCCTTTTTGGAAGTTCCAGGTTTAGGTTTGATTGATTTTCATCCAGCTAGAAACCCATAACACCATTACATGAAGAATGCATAGCACAGAAGTGTGATATTATTGTGGCCAACCTTTTCTAAGCTTACTCGCTCTCAATAGGGAAGGCAGCATCAGGATGGGAAACACCTTGCCGCTGTCAAGTCAACATCTAGCGAGTGGCACATCATCGGATCACCATCAAGCGTAGTAATCTACAGCATAAGTCACTGATTTTTGTCCCACGATTTCTCAACAGAATTTTCTGGTACGACAGGGTCTTAAGAGAAATAGAGTCCTCACCAGCTCGTCGGGTCACTGTGATATGCAAGTTTGGCTACCATATCAAAATAGTACCTATCGATCGGGTTGTGTTCATGTGGTATACAACCAAAAAGTTACGTTATATCGTGATAGTGTTCTGATGTAAATTTCACATTTGAGTAGGAAATTCACAGCTAACCAATCAGCCAGTTGAAAATATTTCCAATATTTTAATACAAACGTTAATGCTATGACCAGTAGGAATGGTTTATCACTGGTAGTAAACACCCCCAGATAACAGCAATTCATAACCTTTCAAACGGTCAGTGTTGTTCCAGTATAAAAGCTCCGAAGTTTGTAGTAACATTTCCCTTCCGTACAGTTGTGTTTGCTTCACTATTTTTCAGTGATAGGTCAAGTCACCAACACAGTGAACCATAGATAACATTGTCCATGCCACCCATTCATGGTTTAGAAAAAATACAGGTTAGAAGAACATTTGTAGTGCAGAATCCCAGCCAACAGCTGCTATTTAGACATAGTGTCGGGCTTTCATACCACAGACACAAGCTACACTAGCTGGAACGCTCATTTCCTTGAGGTTCGACCATGCCTGAAAGGTCTACTGGACAGCGGCAAGACGAAAAGTGTAAATAGCTACACTATAATGGGGGTACTGCAGTACGGAAGTGCTGCCTCCCCTCTGAGAAAGGGGGGTCAGAAAAGGTCAACCCTAAATGCGCGATTTTCCATGCCCCATGGCTTTTTGGTGCTGTGGTATGGGTTTCCTCTGTCACCCACTAAAACAATCAAATCTCACACCGACATTCCTAAAAAGGTTTTGGGGTAGGTCTCAAGTGAGTGTCCCAAGCGGTCTGCGGTCACACAATTCTTTTCCATTTAAAAGCAGTTTGTGCGCTGGTTGACTGAATGGATTTATGAGAACTAGGAAGGATCGTGAGAACGGCCAAGTCTTTTTCGTGATTCCCGCCCACGCACACACTGACTGCAGTTCGAATGATGAATTCTACGAAAAGCCGTCAATTTTACTACAGAAAGCCAAACGTTCAGATATAGTCACAATAGTAGATGACTTTAACGCTCAAGTAGGGAAGCTAGGTCAATCGAAAAGGCATCCTGGGGTTATTCACGGAATCCTATGCCAACAAACCGATTACGATGATCGTCTGTTGCAATTTTGTTCCAATAATCACTTGTTTCTGACCAACATTAACTGTAGACATAAGGAGAGACACTGTCTCACATGGCATCCGCTGACTTCAAACCAACGACGAATGCAGATTGACTATGGTCCTATAAACCACCGTTGAAAGGGTTGGTGGAGGATTGCTGCTCTTTCTGGAGTACCTGTTTGGAGTCCGATTACGCCTAGTACGGGCTCGTGTATATCTGCACCTTACTGGTGGGATAAAATAGGCGGCAGTGAAACCCATATGTACTCGATTGGAAGATGAGGAAACCAAGTGTGTAGTTAGGGTGGATACAGCAAAGTTTATCCGAACGTGACAGCAATCCTTATCCTGAGAAAACCTGGCGTGACATTAGGTCTGTTGTAGAAACAGTGGTAAAGACAGTTGGTAATCTACATCCGAAGGTTAGCAAACTTTATTGGATTTCCACGTCGTCATCTGAATTGCTTGATGTGAGAAGACTAGTTCCGGCTGAAAAGTGAAAGTATACTATACATAAGTTAACTAAGAGTCTTCGTGCCGTTCGTAAGTAGTTACGGGTGGCGAAAACGAAAGAAATGAGGAAGGCATAAGTGTTGGGTAACACTTGCAACTATTTGGGCTTATTCAGGATAGCAGTAAGAAGACGATGGTGAGTGAAACCATCATCGAAAAGGATGGGATACGGATAATATATCCGGACAGGCAGCTAGAACGTTGGTCAGAAGACTTTGAAGCACAGTTCAACTGGCACACAGCAAGGATTCAGTTACCCAAAATCCAATGTGAACCTGAATGGGGCGTAGATACTGGTCCTCCAACTCTCTTTGAAGTTGAGAAGGCTATATCGACCTCAAAATGATGCAAAGTAGCAGAACCTAACAGTTTTCAACATGTTTTCAAGGATGGAGGTAGAAAATTGATTAGATTGACGGAGGTACTAGGTAGTGTATGGGAATCAGATGCTGTGCCGTCAAACTGGTCCACTTCTTTGAGCAATGTTGACGTCATGAGAAGAGTACTAGGCAAGACAAACAAGCCGATTAATGAGGTTGTGAACCTTAGTCGACTGAGATGGATTGGACACGTAGCGTGCATGCCGAGCCATCGCCTACCTGGATGTGTCATGTTTATAGGAGTTGTATTAGGTTGGAGGATGGTTGACGGTGGGCAGACCGAGAAGTGACATCAGCCGGTGAAGTCTCTTACTCTTGGTCTGATTCGTCTGGGTCGATGTGTACGGAGGCAAAACGAATCACTGGTTCAGGACTCTTGATGAAATCGGTCACAATGGTGCAGATGTATTCACTCCTTGACATCTTCTAAAGTTTGGATATTCACACTAACCTTTACATTCAGATTGCTTATTTTCTCACACTACTCTATCTACGTTGGTGTTACTCCTTTTCTATCCCCGTTGTTTGTGTACTTCTGTGAAGTATGGGAGCTTGAGCCAATGCACTCCTCTGCGAGGTTCTACGTTGATTTCGTCAGTCAGTATGTCAACGTTTATACAGTATTCGCCAAAATAGGACTAATTTAGAGAAATTTTCAGATATTTAAGCTGGAAAGTTCCATTTGTCTGTCAAGTCTTTGAATGTACTAGCCATGTAGGAAAATATGCATAAAATAGCACTATGGTTTGAGAGCCTGAGACACAGTCGATACGTACAGCGGGAAAAGCGACGATGGATAGTTATGACGTGGATGCATAGGTCTTATTTTTATAGTTAAATCACACTACGTTACTTAACTATTTATTTGGTGGCTTCTAACAATCTTTGAAAATTGTTTCCACTTCCTTATCTTTCGCTTTATTGTTTTTTTTACTTTGATGAGGTGTGATAACCTGGACTGTAACGCAGTAATGCTAGGTTGCATGTTGGTGATAGAAGTGTAATGCGAGTTGATAAGTACAAATGAAAGTTATTTAAAACCGTAACACCTTATCAGATATGCCACTCACTACTTGGGTTATATCAACAGGAAATAGGAAGATAAGATAACGACATTAATAAAGGACAACTTCCCCCAAAAAGCTGGCAACCACAAAGTTTTATGTCTTCCTTAGAAGGATCATAACCTCAAATAAAGTCACGAAAAATAAATAAACATCTTCCTTCAGATAGCTTCTGAAAATATTGCTAGTACTTAAGGAATTATATAAGAGTTACACAAAGACGATATTTTGAATTGCCCGAAGGACGCAACCACAATACCAACGCAAAGACGATAGTCTTCATTCAGATGCTACAACCGACCAGAAAACCAACTACAAACAAATTGTTTTAGGAAGTTCTTATTAAAGACACCTGGTATTGTGAAAAAATACTAAGGCTTACTACTACGGTAGCTCAGCCAGTCAGGGTGAAAAGCGCGACAACTTAGAGATTTTTATGAGAAAACACTGAGCATAGGAAAGATAAGGCATGGACTTGAATGGTACATCTATGAGTTGAATCCTGTTGGAACCAACTACATGAAACCACGAATATGGCTTACTCTTAGTAATAAAATGGCAAAAAACTGATAAACATAGTCTTTGAGCAGAATTACTATTTCGACAGAAGTCATATTGTTACCCATATTTTGTTCGGCTGATTAGTCATTCAGAGATCAGCTAACAAACCTGTTTAATCCAGGGTGAAAGATGGGACTAAAAGCTTTTTCTACATTATATACCTATCCATTGATACAAAACCAATTACTGACATGAGAAAACTGGAAACTTTTAAGTTTTGCCAATCTCCTGAGACTTTCATTCAACCACATATCAATAGAGAATTCGACATATGCATTGTAATCAAAATATGATGGTTGTAGTGTAATTTGTCTAGTAACCAACTGCAAACTATCCGAAAACCACGTTCACAAATATACACTCACTCTCATCTTGGATACATTTGGTGATTTTCTCAAGGAGCTGTTTGCGAAGAGATGCAGGTGTCTTATCCAACCCAGCACGGAAAACCCACTGTGCCAATCTGAGGTTAGGAATTTTCTCAAGACCCTCTTCTTCCAAGCGTTCCAAAGGCATTCTGTGATCGTGCAAAATGCTCGAAGCACCTGCTTCTTTCAAGGTTCCAATATCCAAGGTTGATGGAAGTAAGGTCATCCAATATTCAATATCCATTGTGCGAGTTTGTGTAACTTGTAGTTTTTGAGCTTTCACTTCTGTGTTTTGAGACTTGGTTCTTTTTCTTCGGCTATGTTCCTTCTATGGTGACAGAAGGTTTTATGTTTCCCGCTTATAGCTTTGAGGGAAGTGACTGTCTATTTGAAGGTAATTTTTCTTGCAGTTTGTAGCTTGCTTTGTTTCTGGGGAGGGGAGCTGCTGATAAGATCAACTGACCCTTACCAATTCCCGTCTTTTTAAGTGCTTCCAATTAAGCAGGAAGGGTTGCTTAAAAAGTGGTGTCAGAGATTAGATAGATATGGAATGAGAAGAAGAGGAGTGTAAAGAACTCACGGAATCATTTGTTGACGGTAGTTATATGGAGAAAAGATGGGAAGAGGAATAAAGGGGTGGATGAACATGCCGTCAGCCACTATTGGTGCATGTTCGTGGTAAGCTGTCTGCGCCCAAGTACTTATTCTGCTGAAGTTTGAAGGAGTCAGGTGCTCGTAACTGTAGCCACTCCCTTCGGGAGAGCATTCCACAGGACACACACTGCATGAGAAGTTAGATGTCACCCTTGTCTCTCCTCTGTGATGGGTTAGGCAAGTCGGGCTTCCGCGAGGCTGTAGGCTTTCGGCGGATAATTTCGACCTACTGGGCTGACCCACCTAGTGAATGATCTCAGGCTGTTACCGGGTCACCTTCCCTCCTTCTGAAGCCCAGTAGGAGTGAAACTCAATTTTCCGAGGCGTTACGCCTATGTCTTGCCTGTTAGTCCAACGACCGACCTTGTCTTGCTTTGCTGCACCTTCTCGAAAGTATCTGTCTTTCTTTAGTCACGGGGGAGGAGCAGCCGCATTGAATACCAATATGTGGTGTAGTATAGGTTTCGAACAACATGAGGAATGATCCTGAGGGTAGCACTCCAAGCTGCAGTCTTAGAAAGTCCATGATGGCGTTCACCATCGCTGTCACTGTTTTACAGTTGGCAATAGTATCCAGAATATCACAGGAGTTTAGTCCCAGGTCCTTCTCTGCGGATAACCTGGTGATTGCACAGTTGTTTAGGGTGCAGCTGGTTTTCGCCGCCTCCGATGTCAGAAAAAGCATCGCCTTGCAGTCCCATAGTTCGAACTTGAAACCGCTAGCAGTTGACCAAGACTCCGCTGCAGCAACTCATCTTGGAATATTCTAGGATCCACTTCCCTACTTAGTGTCCTCTATGTTTTGATGTCGTTGGCAAATGGGAGGATAGACAAGGAGATTTTAGCTGAAAGGTCACTGAATAATAGTAGGACTAGGAGTGACCCAGGTAGTGCTTCTTCAGCAACTCCCTTTCCTGAGCTTCTCCGGGCTGATCGAATTCTGTTTAATTCAGTACAGAATTCTTTGTCCTATGGACTTACTGTCAACCATGCTATGGTGTGGTGATACCCAGTCTTGCAAGTTCAGCAAGGATGGCGTAGTTTGGGGCCCCTTTTTTCTCAGCCACTAAATGCTCGCTGACTTCCCTGTACTTAGTCCCAGCTGATCTCAAAACCATCAGGTTTCCGATTGCCTTGGTAGCAAAGTAGAATTCATTTGGATCCTGCTTGTGCGATATTAGTATTTCGTCGTCGGATCTTGTTTCGCCACTCGCAAAGCTTCCTAAAATACAGAAAGGAACACGAGCGTTAGTGGGCCTCCACTGGCAACTTCTTGTGGCTTTCCATGAGGAGCGCCCGTCGAACATGCTAGGAGATGCCTTAGAGCCTACGCAACACCACACTTCTCTCACAGACAACTAGGTATCCTCACTCTGAAACTCTTGCTGAAGCCGTAAAAGACCTACGTACGATTTCGTGTAGAGGTCCCCAATGTTACCGCACCCCAATACCTGAACGTGGGGAAATTCCAGAGGCGAGCAACAAGGGGTGTTGCAAGGTTGTGGCAAAACCCCGTGGGGATAGGTCGAATAGACTAGGGCTACCTTAGGCTATGTGGCGACTTGATGACGGCTTTAAAATACCAGGTGTTCCAAGTCATCGGAACAGTAAAGTCCTACCGAACGGCTGCTGTGGTGGTCTTCGCGGTAACCCAGGCAGAATCTTCCAAAAGAGGGCGAAAACCCGTCTGAGTTCACACATTTTCCCCCTGCGAGCTTGCGGCCACTGGGGCGCATTGCCCTCCGAAGCTGCTAATGCTGCATCTGTCGACACCCTCAGGAAAGGGTTGGACAGCGACGCACGTTTTGCGCTCGTCCAGCTGGACTAAGTTGGTGCAACGGAATAACTCTACACAGCCGAGCACAGTCAACCCTATGTGGAATCATTTGTACCACCACCGTCATTGGGAACTTGACTTAAGCCTACACTTCCCCGTAGACGTCTTCCCTAGTTTCCATTTCCCGTTGATAGCCCCAATATCTCTATTTCGATAGCCCGTCCCATTATAATACTCGCTGTTTCTCCTCCCTTTGAATCCATGACAACGCAATATTCAGCAATGCTTCCCCTATAAGTTATCTCCCGTAAATTCACCTGGGTTTCTCCTTCCCTTCCCTTCCGCATCCTCTTGCCTCTTTTTTTTCTTATTTTCTTCTCCGCACTTCCTTTCTCTTGATTTATCTGGACATCTTTTCCAGTCTTCTTTTTCCAACACTTCTGAGGAATTGCCCGGTGGCAGGATATCTGAGGGGCCCGTCTGCACTGCAGTCCTTGGAAAAATCACGCAACTACGAGTTTAACCGACACCCGTCGAGCAAACCAGAGCTATGGCACGTGTCTGGATAGGCCTACTGCACTGGACTCCACCGAAGATGTGGAAACGTTCCGCAAGAGCTAGAAGCCAGCGCTACGGAACTGGTTGGTTTACACTGGCTCGTAAAAAGATGTTGGATATTGGATTAGGAAAATAAAACAGGCAACGCAAAAATTTGTTACTTGATTGTAATCAGCCCCGTACACACGACAGTTCTCCATTTGGCTATTACGGGAATCGTATTCTGGAGCCGTGACCCTTCGTACAACCTGAACGAACCTCCACTACCGAACCCAAGGGTGATTTTGGATTCACCACCCGTACGACAGCGAACCACAAACAAACAAAAAGTCGGCTGCCTGCTTAAAGTTTTGGTTATCAAAATACTTCATCGAATATATTTCGTCAGATCGCCTCCTTTTACTCGTTTTAAACTTTTAGGTGTCAAATCATCGTAAAACATACTCATGCACATTCTTAAAATGTCTTCAAGTTGTTGCCGGTGTAACGGATCTGAAGCCTTACTACTCCACGTTTTAGTTTCAGTTCCTAGGCAGCCCCACCTCTTCGTTATCAAGCTATCTTTTGTTACCAAATGTAAGCACAGTGTGTAATTTCTGTGTCGTCGGTTCGCTTTTTTCTTCTTACTTTCCTTTGCAGATCTTTACGCTCACCGTTAAGCTCACACTACTCCATGCGCCCGCTGCTACAATTCACTTATCTGCCCACTCATAGGCTAGACGCAAACCTATCAACATCTGGTCGTTGCACAAGATGGGTTAACAACGGGACTACGAGAAAGTGTCACGGTAAACCGTAATTGTGCCCTGAAAGCGCAACGGTACTTCATACAGTTATCCCAGGAGTGCGCAGGCGGGGAGAGAATTTTCACACTAGATAAATGGACCTCCACCCCTGAACTTACGTGCCCCATTTCATTAGACCCTCCTGCAACACCATGCGAACCCTGTATCAACCTTCAGGCTACAGGTTGATGTGAATTACTGCGATCCTTCTGCCATTATTGGCATGATTTTGCGTCGTTGTTTTTAATCTTAAGGTATTGTTCGGGAAGTAAAATTGTTGAAACCTCACCCCGGAAATTTCAAACTATACCAGGAGTTATCGCCTGGAATAAACTGATTGTTATGATAATGATAATGACCATTTTGGATAGTTTTGCACAGCTGCTTCAGTGACCCCAGGGAACTCATGTTCACAAGTTAGGCAACCAACAAAATATCTACATGACCACGTAATGCAGCCAAATTTCCAACTTCGGGCATTCCTTGCCCTTCACTTGTTACAGTTTGCGACAGTATGGGTTCATTCCGTTGGAAACAGTTGCTGCAGTGCACAGAAATAAACAATGGAAAAATTGTCGTCCATGTGGCGATGGACAATACATAGACCTCCTGTACATTTTATACTGAAGTAAGCAACGCCAATAAGGTAGGTTATTTGGTGCTTATCATATTCTGTCTGGTGAAATAACATGATATAAGGGCTAGAAACTCGGTAATGTGGCTCTGATGCATGTATGTTGCCCTTAAATGCTTCCCAGATTTAATCGTTTCTTTACGTTTTCTCCGTTCCTATAACCGTCCAGCATACTTAAACTGCTGATTGTAGAAGAGGCCCAGTACATAGTCGTGTGAAGTGTTTTGGTGGGTGGGTGAGTTCACTAGAAAATCGTCCACTAAAAAGAAAAAAACTTTGAGAACAAACAAGCTGAAGACTCATTTCAGAGGTTCTCAATACTATGCACTAAGTTCTGTTCTCAGTAGAGTTTGGGATTTCCTCCGCGAGCTGATGCTGAGAACGGAAAATGAAGGGTGAGGGCAGAAATGGACGGCAATCGCTTTAAGCAAGGTAACTCATAGAAGAGAGAGGTGCCTGCCATTTTAGGCGCTTGATCTGCATCTACACTCTTATTTATGGGCATAAAAACTACTTAATTTTTTCTAACATGAGGTTCGTACAAGTTTTCAGGTATGCGGTAATCAGCAGTACACTTCAAAGGAATTCTGAGTTTGCATCAAGTGCATTTTCCTCTTTTAGCCATACAATACGAGCAGGCTAGTCTCCCACACGGCTGACGGATGACGTGTAAAGACGCCAGGAGTTTCAATGACAGATACAACTAGGTTGTCCCCTATATTCAGAAAGGAATTTTCGAGTTGTTCCCATAAAGTACGAATCAGTTTTGGCATTCCTTTTTTCTCAGAATCGTTTTACATTTATATTCTATTATGGTTATTCATCTCTTGGGTTCAGTAGTGCGTCGCCATTTTACGCTCTTCTCTGCAGTCTTTCGAACCTGGCTCCACAACCGCCCACAAGCTTTCACTGCTTCCCCACATGATCTCCTCGATG